ATATATATATATACATATATATATATATGAACTGGAGATCACAGCTCAATGCAGAGGTCCTGGGTTTAATCCCCCGGACCACAAAAAGAGAGAGAGAACAGTTAATGATACCTATAGTGTTATTGTAAGAGTGAGTGATTTGTGTATTTAAATTCTTATACAGTGCCTGAAACACCCACAACACTCAAGAATGGCTCTACATCAGTAATAAAACCTCTCTGACCTATTTTCCTCCTTTTTGGTGTTCTTTAGCACCCATATGTGTAGCTACATTTACTAATCCATAAATGTTTCGTCAATGATTTTGAGTAGAACACAGAAACATCACTGACTTTCAATAGCAATAAAAAAGCAAAATCCATAAAAGTAAAGAAAATGAATAAATATAATACCATTTCACACCTCTGCTGCTGCTTCTCTCAGCAGTGGTCACCATAAATATTACGGTAAATTCATAACTTGGCTTCCACTCTCACCGTTCTCTAACAGCTTCCCTGCCCCATTACCAGGAACTCCATCAGACTAAAACAAGCCATTTCTATCCTGTAGCTTCCTTCCTATTCAGAGGGAAACGCAAGGCCCTTCCTTGCATGTGAGTCCCTGCACCAGCTAGCTCCACTTGCCCCTGACCTCACCCCTATTACTCTTGAGGCACCCATTCCATTCCAGGCTCCCCAGCCTGCTTTCCGTTCTCTGAATACCAGCCTCAGGCCCTGGGCGCTTAACTGTTACCTCAGCTGAAACTCTCTTTCCTTAAATTAGCTCTACAGAGTAACTCAGCTTTTCATTTTTTTTCCAGATCTTTACTCAAATGTCGTGCTATTTTGTTCACAGCACCTAGAAACAGTGTCTGGTACAGGGTATGTGCTCAATAAATATGTTAGGTAAATGAATGCACAGTTTGAGTCAGCAAAATGTGGAGTAAATATAAAGTGATATGGAAACTTTAGGCTCTGAGGGAACTTTGCTTTTTTCTATGCTACTGAAAAGTATTTAAATTGTCTGAAGTTATCTTTCTTGAGGTGTTTATCCATGAACCTGGCCTTCAGTTCAGCCAACGGCACAAATACTTGTGAGAGCCAGATGTCTGCTAAACATTTGTGAACTCCGTTGACACATGGTTTAAACTTTATATCCTGTTTTAAGAGAGACTGTAGATCATCTGTAGAATTTCTGCTGCACCAGATATAGTCTAAGGCCGTGATGGCTGGGGATGCACATTTTATCTGCTGCTTTGTTTTCATAATGGTTAGGATGGTGCTTTTTTTCAGTGATTGAAAATGCTGGACATATTATTATCAGACTAGTTGCCTTATTTTCCTTGGACCTGATTTGATCCAAATTATGCGATAGTGAGCACAGCTTTCTACCCAACCTCAAGCAAAATTACAATATATTCTACAATCTACTGAATATCTCAGTCTTAACTGTAAAGGGTAGTTCCCACATAAGTCCCACAATGAGAAATAATGAAACATTATCCAGCAACTCTTGGAAAATTCTAAAAGAAAAAATTTAAGACTCATTGATTTGAAGGAAGGGGAGGAAGTACAGCTTAATGGTATAGACAAATCTACTCATTGCAACTATACCAGAAAAAATTTGCAAATATAGAGAATGAAATGAATAGCAAGGTATTAGAGCTATTGAAAACCCCAAGTAGACATGAACAGTAAAGAATCTCTCCATGCATGTACTACAACTGCTAAAAATGAAGGACAAAGAAAGAATACTACAAGTTGTAAAAGAAAAATGCCAAGTCAGTTATAATGACAAACCCTGAAGTTTGGAAACTGAAGCTGAAGCTGGAAACCAGTCACACGCATGGGATTAAGACAAAGCCATCCCGAAAACACTGAGAGCTCCTGGAGCCCTGTAAACACACTGTTCCAGCTTGCAAACAGGTTGCTAGGCAGAGAGGCTGAAATAGGCATCAACCTCCTGAGTGTATAAATAAACTTATAGTTCTTGGGCAGTTCCTCTCTTCCCATTCAGAGAGAGAGCTCCACCTGACCTCAGCTTGCATCTCGTGTCTTTATTTCTAAATCCTCTGCCCATTTTTCCCTGGGAACATCAAGAGCCGTGTGGGTTGGTGGCACCCATCAGAACAATACCAGACTTAGCGGAAATTGTAAAGGCCAGAAGGGCTTGAGAGGATGTCCATTTCAAACCCTAAAAGATAAAAATTGCCAACCTACAAAACTAGGCAAAAAATCAACAAGGAAACACCCAACTGCACTATAGAATAAATGGACTAAATAAGCATCTACAGAGTATTCCATCCCACAACAGAAGCATGTACCTCTTTTCAGCATGGAATTTTCTCTAAAATAGACCATGTTTTAGTCCAAAAAACATGTCTTCTAAATACAAAGAGAAATGAAATAATCTCATGCATTCTGTTAGATCCCAATGGAGTCAAGCTAGAAATCAACAGTGAGAGAAACCATACAAACTACACAAACATGTGGAAATTAGTAATACATTTTGAAGATCAGTGAATCATGGATGATGTCAAAGGAAAGCTTAAAAATTCCTAGCATCAACCAATAATGGAAACAGCATATCGGAATCTGTGAAGCATACTGAAAGCACTTCTAAGAGGAATGTCTATAGCTTACATCAAAAAAGCAATGATCCCAAATAAGTAGCTTAATGACATATCACAAGATCCTAGAAAAACAAGAACAAACCAAACTTAAATTCAGTCAAAGAAAAGAAATAGTAAATACCACAGTGGAGATTAATGAAATAGAGATTAAAAGAAAAATGTAAAGAATCAATAAAGAAGGGCTGGGGATTTAGCTCAGCGGCACAGTTCCTGCCTGGCAAGCGGAAGGTTGTGAGTTCGATTCCCAGTACCAGAAAAAAATAAAAAAAAAGAATCAATAAAGAGATGGTTTATTGAAAAGATAAGCAAGACTGATAAACCAATAACCAAATTTACCATAAGGAAAGAAGATGCAGATTAATATAAGGTTGAAAGTTTAAAGGAATTTCAATTTAAAATGAAATATGGATATAAAAATGAGCCAATTTTTTTCATGATTAGTAAATTGGTCCTGAAGATTATTTCTGAAGAGAAATTCCTCTTATGTTTAAGTCATTTTGGATGGTGCAATCATAGTATATATCTGCTTCATAATTTTTTATGTACAGCTAAATTTTTGCCCTCAGATATCAGCACTGAGAAATTCCTGACATGACAATAATATTACCATAAAAGATTTCTCTCTTAGCAGAGTAAAAGGTCATGTCTGTTTAATTTTTAAGTTAGTTTTTTTTTTCATAAACTTTGAACTTAGCCTCAAATGAACTCTCTCTTGAAATGAACTCTGTCTTAGAAACAAGCTGATGTTCACTCATTTATTCTTTCAGAGGTTTTCTGTTATCTCAAGGACATATTCATTTAAAACATAGTTTCATATGTTTCAGATGTTCTGACTTTATAATGCTAAGTTAAGGAAATTTCTTTTTATATTTGAGGAATTCATTCATTCAGCAATATAGAGCATCTACTCGGTATTATGTGCTATGGCAGGTACACGACATGTAACTTAGCACAGCAAAAATCTCTGCTCTTGTGAAACTTACATTTTTTGGTAGGGATTGGCAGACATGTGGAAACACAATTAATGAGTAATTTTGTACATTAAAAGGTGAAAAGTGCTCTAGGGAAAAAATGGAACATGGGAAGGAGACTGAGCATGCCAGGAAAGAAAAGATTGCAATTGCACCACCATGCCTGGCTTGAAGTTACTTCTTTACCATTGTTTCCACTATAGACTAATTCTTGTGCTCTAAAGTAAGAGGTATTTGGCTTGTAAGAGAAATAGAGGTCATCTTAATATAGTTCTTTGTTACACTGAGTCTCTGAAACGTTAAAGAAACTTCACTAAAGCCACTCAGTCAGTTAGAAGCAAGGTCAAATCAGCATCATCAGTTATCTGGCGTGGAGCTTGGTGTTCTTCTTGTCAGTCTGAAAGGGAGCTTTTAATGGTGAGGACTTCAGATTGGCTTGCATAGCATGTATGTTGGAGGGTCAGACGCAATCCTGTTCTGTAGCCTCTTAGTTCACCTTCACATAAACTTCCTCTCATCTTAATTTTATTGTTGCCTTTAGCCGGTGAGATCAAA